ACGACGACGACGACGGCGCCCTCGCGTCGGCGATGCAGGTTTTGGGGAGAGTTCGGCATGCGCGCGCGGCCGACGCGCGAGAGCGGCCCGCGCGGTTCGTTTGGCGCGGGTCGTGCCCCCCAGCACGCGCGCGAAGGCCCGCGAATGATGTCGGCATGCGGCGCCATGGGCCCGTCTGACAGAAGTCAATGCAAATTTTTGAACAACCGATGGTTTACTTCAGAACGCGCAAGAGCGCGACCGCACGCGTTTTTGAACACGGATGTTGCGAAACAGTGTGTTTTGCATGTCCTTTGGGCACTCGGTTTTGACATCGCTGCCCAGTCGGCGCGCGAGCGACGACGCGCGCTCTCTCTCTCTCTCTCTCTCTCTCTCTCTCTCTCTCCTCTTTTTTTTTCTTCTTTTTTTTTTCTCATAATAATAATACTATTATTATTTGTTCATAATATAAGAATAAAAAAAAGAGCACACACGCATATATACGTATATATACACAAGTACATATGTGTATATGTATATGTATATGTATGTGTGTGTATATATATATATGTACATATATAAATATATAAGATTCTCGCGACGACGCGCGCGCAAGGGCGTTCGAACGATTTCGACATTCGCGCGCGCGAAACCTGTTTGGTAGCATTTTCCGTTTGAAAGCTGTGCGACAAAATGCTGAGTGTTTATATTTTTGGGACACTCGATTCTGAAACCCGGGCGACACCACTATATTTCGAAGGATTTCGGCACGCGCGCGCGACGACGCGCGCGCACTTCGCCCAACTTTTGCAAGGGATTCTGGAACAACTGATGATTTCTTATGATTTCTGATCAACGGGTGCGCGGGCATGGGATGTTTTGCAGGAGCATGGCGGGGGGGGGGGGGGGGGGGGGGTTTCGACGCCGGCCTGCCTGGGATTGTATTCTACCATATTCAGGATAGACGATGGGAAAGCATCGCACGCAAATTGCGCTGCGAAAAGGGGGGTCGATAATCCCCAGGGGGGGGGACTGTCTAGATGAGAGAACTCACCCTGCCGAACTTGAAGTTGTCCACTCCACTGCTCGCGCAATCACCCCACCCGCCCACCCGCAACTAGATGTGCAGGGCCCGTGCGGCGGCGATTGCGATATGTGCTTGGCGTTGGCTGGTGCATCTCTGCGGCCGTGCTGGCCCGCGCGTGCTCGCGCGCGCGGCGGCCAGCTAGTTTGGCGCAACCGACGCGAAGGCGGTATCGTGGCAACGTCGACAACGGTAGACGCGAGTATGATAATAGCGATGCTTATGATGATGTTGGCAACAACTGCTGGGCGGCCAGTGGCGACGTCGATGCTGATCGCGCCGACGACGATGGCGGTGCCCTCGCGTCGGCGATGAAGGTTTTGGAAGGAGCTCGACGCGCGCGCGGCCGACTCGCGAGAGTGGCCCGCGTGGTTTTACGCGACGCGGATCGCGCCCCCCCCGGCGCGCGCGCGAGGGCGTTCGAATGATTTCGGCACGCGGCGCGAGACGCCTGTTTGGCAGAAGACCATGAACAGGTTGAACAACCTGAAGCTGTCTTGAGAATTCGCGAGAGCGCGAGCGCAAGTTTTTTGAAAACCGATGTTGCGTAGCCGTGTGAACTTAACAAGTTCGCGGCGCTCGGTTTTGAAACCCCTGCGACACCGACGGATTTCGACTGATTTCGGCATGCGCGCGCCGCGGCGCGTGCGCGCACACTTCGACTCATGTTTTGCAGAGAGGTTTTGTGACAGCGCGCGCGCGTGGGAGTTCGAGCGGCGTCGACATCGGCGCGCGAAGCCCCGCTGAGTAGCGCGATGCACTGATGCTGGAGAACTTGCGGTTCCATCTAGAACTTGCAGGAACGCGAGCGCGAGCTTTGTTTGACAATCCGCGCGGCGGAACCACGTTTGCTTTATTTTTTTTTTGTTTTTTTTTTTTTTTTTTGGGGGGGGGGGGCGGCGCGCGACTTTGAAATCCCAGCGAAACCTTCGGTTTGTGGAAGATTTCGGCACGCGCGCGCGACAGCGCGCGCGTGCGCTTCGTCGCATCTGCGACAAAGCATGGTTGAAAACTGACAACTGTTGATGAACGGGTGCGCGCTTCAAATTTATGGTAGAGAATGACGCGGGGGGGGGGGGGTCGATGTCGGCCTGCCTGCGTTCATGTTGATGGCGGAAGATGGGGCAGACCGCATGTAAATTGCAATGCGAAAAGTGGTGCCGGCAACCCCGGGGGGGGGGGGGAGGGGGGTAGAATTTTTCTTGCTCTTGACAGACAAGATAATTTCTGTTTGCAGTGCGTTGCCCACTCCACTGCTCGCGCAGACTTCCCGCCCACCCGCCCGCGACGTGGTTTGCAAAGCCCGCGCGGCGGCGATTGCGATGAATGCTTGGCGTTGGCTGTTGCATCTCCGCGGCCGCGCCAACGCTAGCGCGCGCAGCAGCCAGCTAGTTTGGCGCGGCCGACGCGGCCGCGGGCGCGCTGACCGCTGGGCACATCCCAGCGGGCACTTCACTGCGAGTCGGCGATTTGGGCGGGCGCGGTACCGCGGCGACGCCGACTGCGGTAGACGCGATTATGCTAGCAGCGACGGCGGCGGCGATGGCGAAGGCAAGGCCAATGACGGCGCCGATGTTGATCGCGCCCGCCGATAACGATGACGACCTCCTCGCGTCGGCGATGATGGTTTTTGACGGAGTTCGATATGTGCGCGCGGCCGACGCGCGCGAGTGGTCCGCGTGACATTATTATACGCGGATCGTGCCCCCCCCTCCCAAGCGCGCGCGCAAGGGCGGTCGAATGAGTTCAGCACGGGTGACATGGGCACGGGAAAACAAGCGTTTCGCTCGAGACGTTTTCAACACCTCTTCATTCTAGACATCCGCCTGGGCGACCTGTACACGTGAAAGCAAACGTCTCGCTCGAGACATCCTCAACGCATCTTCATGTTAGACATCCGCCTGGGCGACCTGGACACGTGAACACAAGTGTATCTCTCGAGACATTCTCAACACATCCTCATGCTAGGCATCCGCCTGGGCAACCAGGACACGTGCAAACAAACATCTCGATCGAGACTTCCTCCACACATCCTCATGCTAGACATCCGCCTGGGCAACCTGGAGGCGTGAAACCAAGCGTCTCGCTCGAGACATCCTCAACAAATCCTGGCGCTAGACCTCTGCCTGAGCAACCTGGACACGTGAAACCAAGCCTGTCGCTCGAGACATCCTCAAGACCAGGGCACGTAAAAACAAGCATTTCGCTTGAGAGATCCTCTGAATTCTGGTCCCCAGGAGAGGACAATCTATAACACAAAACAAGCGTTTCGCTCGAGATATCCTCAACAAACTATGAAAGCATGCGTTTCGCTAGGGACATCCTCAAAATTCCAATTCGCCGGCACTAAGCGACCTCGTTATTCACCGCAAAATAATTTCGCCGGCCCTACAGCCGTCAGAACCGGGGGTAAACACACTAAAAGAGAACCCTGGGCCTAAGCCCTTTCCCGGAAAAACTCGCCGCCGGCGCGACATCTCTTTCGTGCAATATATGTGGTGCAACCCCACGGCGGCGACGGGCGGCGACGAGGCGGCGACGGGGCGGCGAAGGCGACGACATAGCCGCCAGATCAACGTTCAGGTCCTAGCGACGGGCGGCGACGAGGCGGCGACGGGGCGGCGACGGCGACGACATAGCCACCACCAAGTTGCAGGTCCAGTTCCCCAGAAGACAGGCAAGACCCCCTAAAGTGCAATCGCTGTTTGGGGAATGTGTGGATGTATGCACACATGAATATACATGTATATGTATGTATGTATGTCTGTCTGTATGTGTATATATATATATATGTAGGTATACGTATGTATATGTATGAAATTGTGTATAAGTGGATGCAGCTGTATATATACAGATATACACAACTGTGTGTATATATATACACACGCGCAGCTATCTATATTTGCAGCTATAGATGTATTTATATGTGTTTCTATCGGAGCTGAAGGGGGAGGAGAAGGCAGAACAGGAGGACAATAAAGAAGAGCAAAAGGAATATCAGGATGAGGAGGAAGAGGAGGGCTGAAATATTGAGCCTTCCTTCCCACGGCTGGTCTCAGAAAAAGATGAAGAACAGGAGGAGGCCGACTCTCAAGCATGATGTGGTCTTGGACGCTCCGAGATACAGGAAGGGTCGAGAGCCCTGGTGCTACCCCGTCATCGCTCCTCACCAGTGGAGGGGTAGGGTTAGCTTCCCGCAGGCGGCGCGCACAAGGGGGCGAGAGGGGGCGACACTTTGAGAAGGCACGCGGCCGCTCAACAAGCCTCCTGCCTTCTGAAAGCCTTGCTACTAGAGGCCTCTGGGTAGGGGTTGGACTCTCCCCAGACGCACACTTCCACATAGTATAAGAAGGGCCCCCTCTCCCCCCTTCTGCGCAGGGGCGCTTGGGGCGGTCTTCTTACGATCGAGGGGAGTGGCGGACGAATGGGGGGGGCAATAACTGAGGGGGGGCGGAGGGGGTCCGGGAATTACTTGCGCATGCAGCTGGTCTTCCTGGCGCCAGGGGTGGCCATGTATCAATGAATGCGCCCAGCGGCAGGGCCGAACCCCGCTCACTTCAGCAGATTTCAGACCCCCACCTTCGCCTCGCCACACAGATAAGAAGGCGCGCTTTCTACGTAGGAGGGCTTCTTGGAGAGCGGGAGGCCTTCTAAGAAACACCCTCTCTGGCTTCTTCGAAGCTCTCCCCTCGCCCCACCCACAAGATCGGCCAACATAGAATCGGGACGTCGCATCTATCGGAAGGTGAGTCAGATCGGGCTGCATCGGCACGGAGCTGCAATCGAATCGGACCGGCTGCGCCGGGATGCACAACAGCGCGACGCAGGCATCAGACCACACCGAACCCCATCGGGTCGGCCAGCTTCGACGCCGAGCCGCACCGATCGGGTGGGCAATGGGGCCCTGCCCCCGTGGTGCGCGCCGCCGGCCCCAGTCCTGCACTCCGCCCTGCGCGCGAAGTTCAGGTCGCCGCAGGCGGGGCAGCTCCAGTCCTCGAAGCGCTGCCGCGAGCCCACGGCCGCGGGCGGCGCCCCCGAGCGGCGGGGCGCGCCCGCGCCGCCCCCGTCAGCGCGCCGCCGCGAGCGCGACCGCCGCGAGCGCGACCGCCGCGAGCGCGACCGGCGCGCGCCGCGACGCCCGCCGTCTCGCCGATCCTCGCGCCGGCCGTCCCGCCGGTCTTCCCGGCGGTCGCGGGCGTCGCCCCGGCGGTCCGCCAACCGGCCGTCGTTGTTGCCACCGCGGCGGTCGCCGCTGCCCTCGCGGCGGCGGTCCTCCCTCTCGCCGTTGCGGCGCTCGTCGCGGCGGTCGCCGCTGCCCTCGCGGCGGCGGCCGCGCTCGCGGTCGCCCCTGGGGCGGCTCGCGGAGCGGCTCCTGTTGGCGGCGCGCAGTGGGCGGGTCGAGGGAGGCGGCCCTCTCAGAAGGTCTGCCGCCGGCTAAAGACCTCGTGCGCCTTGCTGGAGGCCTCTGAGCAGGGGCGGGACCCTCCCAAGAAGCCCCTTGCCCTTTGGGAGGCCCTCCACCTCCACCTCCCTCCCCCCCGGCCTCCCACACCTCCGACCTCATGACGCTTTCTCAGCGCCGACCCCCAAAGGCCTCGACCCATTCCCTGGGACCCGTTTGTCAGTCCGTGCTGCTTCTTGACGGTCCCGACGCCTGACTAAGGGCCCCGGGAAAGACCGTACAGCCGGGGCGTTGACCTAAGGAACAATAAATAAGGAACGAAGCCCCTTTTTTCCAGGCAATAACGCATAAGGAACGATAAATACTAACATGATCGACCCACGAACCCAGAAAGGAATACAGAAATGTAAGACTTGGCAACGTTTCAAAGACACTTGATTGGGCGACGGGCAAATGCAATGCTTAGTGAATCGATCTTGATGTACCGTGCCGAGGGCTGTGCTGTGCTGCGCCGTGCTGAATTGCGATGTGCCACGTGACGATTGTGCTCTATAGCGTTGTGGATCGAGTCCTCCTTTGCATCCGAGTCCTGACCGAACTGATCTGGATCTTAAGCTCGAGCTGCCTGAGCACATAGTAGCTGCCCAAGAGCTAATTCACGGGGGGGCATGCTAGGAAGACGCGCCGCCGAAAGTTCCAAGGGACGCGTCAGGCGACGTGCCAGGGAACGTGCCATGGGGACGCACCGCGGGACGTGCCAAGGGGACGCGCTACGGAACGTGCCAATGGACGTGCCACGGGACGTGCTAAGGTACGCACCAAGCGAGGTGCCAGGGGACGTGCCACGGGGACGCACCGCGGGACGTGCCAAAGGGACGCGCTACGGAACGTGCCAATGGACGTGCCACGGGACGTGCCAGGGGACGCGCCGCGCGACGTGCCAGGGGGACTCGCCAAAGGACGCCCCACGGAACGTGCCAAGGAACGTGCCAAGTTGCAATGCTGAGTGTATCGATCTTGATGTACCGTGCCGAAATCTGTGCTGTGCTGCGCCGTGCTGAATTGCCATGTGCCACGTGACGATTGTACTCTATAGCGTTGTGGATCGAGTCCTCCTTTGCATCCGAGTCCTGACCGAACTGATCTGGATCTTAAGCTCGAGCTGCCTGAACACATAGTAGCTGCCCAAGAGCTAATTCACGGGGGGCATGCTAAGAAGACGTGCCGACAAAAGTTCCGAGGGACGCGCCAGGCGACGTGTCAGGGAACGTGCCATGGGGACGCACCGCGGGACGTGCGAAGGGGACGCGCTACGGAAGGTGCCAATGGACGTGCCACGGGACGTGCCAGGGGATGCGCCGCCACGCGACGTGCCAAGGGGATTCGCCACAGGACGCGCCACGGAACGTGCCAAAGAACGTGCCAGGTTGCAATGCTTAGTGAGTGTATCGATCTTGATGTACCGTGCCGAAGGCTGTGCTGTGCTGCGCCGTGCTGAACTGCGATGTGCCATGCCGCGATTGTGCTCTATAGCCTCGTGGATCGAGTCCTCCTTTGCATCCGAGTCCTAACCGAACTGATCTGGATCTTAAGCTCGAGCTGCCTGAGCACATAGTCCACGTAGTAGCTGCCCCAGGGCTAATTGACAAGGAAACATGCCAGGAAGACGCGCCGCGGAACGTTCCAAGGGACGCGCCAGGCGACGTGCCAGGGGACGTGCCACGGGGACGCACCGCGGGACGTGCCAAGGGGACGCGCTACAGAACGTGCTGGGGACAAGCGTCGTGTTGGTGGCCTGGACACGTAAAAACACGGTGCCAGCTCGGGACAACCATGAGAGATACCCCCTGGGTGGCCTGGACACGTAAAAACACGTGGTTCCAGCTCGGGACAATCATGTTAGAGATCTCCCTGGGTGGCCTGAGCATGAAAAAACACGTGGTTCCAGCTCGGGACAGCCATGTTAGATACCCCCCTGCGTGACCTGGATACGCTGAATTCGCGCTCCCGTTCGAGACATCCTCGCGTGTTCGGGTAGCGCTTTTCGGCCCCCCGTGCGTTTCCTTGTAATTCGGCGTTGGGCCCGACGACATGTTAGATACCCCAACTCTGCAAAACCAGCGTTTCGCTCGAGACATCCTCAACAAATTCTGAAAAACAAGCGTTTCGCTCGAGACATCCCCCAACTCTGCAAAACCAGCGTTTCGCTCGAGACATCCTCAACCAATTCTGAAACACAACCGTTTCGCTCGAGACATCTTCAAAAATCACGGAAATCCTCGAAAATCAAACGAATTAGTCGAGACGTCCTCGAAATTCCTGCGCGCGGGACGCGGCACGCGCGAGACATCCTCGGAATTCCTACGCGGGGCGCTTTTCCGTGTCGCGGTCGGCTCTGCAAAACCAGCGTTTCGCTAGAGACATCCTCAACAAATTCTGAAAACAAGCGTTTCGCTCGAGACATCCCCAACTCTGCAAAACCAGCGTCTCGCTCGAGACATCCTCAACAAATTCTGAAAAACAAGCGTTTCGCTCGAGACATCCTCAAACATAATTCCGCCGGCCCTCTTCCCGCACGCAATTTATCGCAGAATAATTTCGACGGCCCTCCAGCCGTCGAAACCGGGGGGTAAACCCACTAAAAGAGAACCCTGGGCTCGAGCCCTTTCCGGGAAAAAAACGCATAAGGAACGATACGTCACGCATGCAAGCCTCAAGGAACGACCGAGCCCCTTTTGAAAACAAAGTGTTCCTTACTCAAGCCGCTCACTGTAAAGAGCGGGCAAAAACTCCCGCCGTGATTTTGTCGTGCTCCCAGGGGGGCTGGGCTCTGCCCGCCGCGCTCCTCTCGCGGCGGGGCGGCGAGGCTGGCGCCGCGGGCGCGATGGCCTCCTGCGAGTCCCAGCCGCCCAGGCCGCGGCGGCGGCCGCCAATGGGCGGCGCCCCAGCCCCGATGGCTGGAGCTCCGATCGCTGGGGCCCCGGCCCCAATGGGCGGCGCCCCGCCGCTGTTGGGCGCCGCCGCCTCCTCGAGGGCTGGCGCGGCGGCCCCGATGGGCAAAGCCGCGGACATCCCAACCGGCTGCGGGCCCGGCGCGACGCGCGCGTGGGTCGCGCAGGCCTTGGGCCCCCCCCTCCCCAGAATGGCCTGGCCGGGTAGACGCTGGCCAAGATTCGACGGTTGGACAGAGGACGGTACCACGAGGAATCGAAGGTCTGGTCCCGCGGCCCACGACCGGCCATCAGACGGTTGGCCTTGGACCGCCATCTCTCAAGGAGGCCTTCCCAAGGAAGAAACCTTCCTGAAGAACCGGCGCCTTTCCAAGAAAGATCCCGGCTAGGAGGAGTAGGAGAAGGCCCTGCTAGGACAACCAAATGGCTGAACATATGAAATTATCGGAAAAACGAATTGGCAATTTTGTAGACCATCTGGAAAAGATGAGGGGGAACGAAGAAGGGAAGAGGAGGACGGATACTTACGGAGAGGGAGGAGGGAGGATAAGTGAGGAGGGATGAGGGTGAGGAGGAGGAGGAGGAGGACGACGACGACGAAGGAGGAGACGGAGAAGCGAGGAGGAGGAGGAACAGGAGGTGGAAGAGAAGGGGTGAGAACGAGAACAAGGGATGGGGCTGAGGGGGCGGAGGATGATGAGCAGAGGGCCCGTGCCTCCGCACATGCCCGAGCACCTACAAACGTCAACCCAGGGGAGAGATCCGAACGGGAGTTCTTGTCCAACTCAATGCGCATACCCCCGCACGTGCCTGCACAGGTCTCCGCATCGATTGTGCCGAACGCGCCCAAGTCGACGCCAGCACCGCGGCAGACCCACGGTCATCTCTGCGTCCGAGGCGGAGTTTGCCCTGGTGGTATGGGCGTCCCTCTCGAAAACGGAAGACCGCGCGTCGGAACGAGCGGCGCGGCGACGTGTGCACACGTCGATCAGATTGCTGCGCGTCCGTGGGCGTAGTGCCCGCATATTCTGGGTATCTGCCTGGCACACGCCGACCCAGAAACGCTCGCGCACACCCAGGAACAAGACACCAGAAATGAGAGCCCCGTGTAACTCCAAGACAGCCCAACGTCGCCTCAAAACTGCCCCAAGCCCCCCCCCCGCACGGCTTCCAAACTTCCCAAAACAGCAACACAAGCCCCCAAGAGACCCCAAGATGACCCTGAGAGAGCTCAAGAGAGGCCAAATGGAACGTCTATCAGTGCTCCGATAAGGCCCAACGCGTCAAGGCAGGTCCAAGTGATCAATCACGAGCGTCTCGAGGCCATACTCCTGAACACTTACAGATTCGTACATTGATTCCCCAATCAGTGCTTGCACTGAAGGGGTCCTCGCGGATGTTGAAAAATTTAGCGAAAATGCCCCGCCGACTTTGGTCGCACGCTGGGTTCCCGGGTTCCCGGGTTCCCGGTTCTGGGTTCCCGGGTTCCCGGTTCCGGGTTCCAGGCCGATTTCGGAGGGCGGCGAGGTTCCCGGGTTCCCAGGCTCCTGGTCGATCTTCTCATCTATCGGTCTCGCCATCGATCTCACGACCGACTTCTCGATCGATCTCACCATCGATCTCACAATCGATCTCACTATCAATCTCACAAGCGATCTCACTAGAGATCGCATGAGCGATCTCGCGATCGATCTCACTGTCGATCTCATGGAATTGATTTCACTCTCGGTCTCGCGATCAACCTTACAATGGTCCTCACTATCGATTCCACTATCGATCTCATTATCGATCTCACAATCGATCTCAATATTCATAGTGTCAATTTTCAAATCATCCACTGATTGGGGTTTTCTCAGGTGTAATTTTGATGCTCGGCGCCCCTGCAAACTCCAAACTCCTGCATGATTCCAATCGGCCGCGGCACAGGATCGGACTTCGCCGTTGCGACAGTCTTGGCTTGCAACTGGCTCATGGGAGGAGAGATGGTCTTTCCTGAACGAAGAATGAAGTTCGGGCTTG